CTGTCACTATGCAATGTGCTTTGTTACAAGGCATGAGACCTCTTTCAGCTCTGCTGTTACATTGCGGATGCAGCCCCTCACTTCCTGCCAACTCCTGTGCAGGACCTGGCCACTGTAGCTGTGTGTGTGTCAGTATCTGTGTGTTTCTATGTGTCTGTGTATCTGTGTGTATCTGCATGTCTGTGAATCTGTGTGTGTATACCTGTATCTGTGTGTGTCTGTGGGTGTGTGTATTTGTGTATCTGTGTTTGTACATCTGTGTATCTCTGTGTCTGTATCTGTGTGTCTGTGCATGTATCTGTGTATGTCTGTGTCTATGTATCTGTGTATCTCTGCGTGTGTATCTGTGTGTGTCTGTGTATCTGTGTGTGTATATCTGTGTGTATCTGTGTGTCTGCATGTGCGTATCTGTGTGCATGTATCTGTGTGTGTATCTGTGTCTGTGTATATCTGTGCCTGTGTATCTCTGTACGTGTCCGTGTATCTGTGTGTGTCTCTGTATCTCTGTATCTCTATATCTGTATCTGTGTGTTTGTACCTGTGTGTGTCTGTGTATTTGTATATATCTCTGTGTGTCTGTGTCTGTGTGTATATCTGTGAGTGTATCTGTGTGTATCTCTGTGCCTGTGTGTCTCTGTGTGTCTGTGTATCTGCGTGTGTCTTTGTGTGTCATCTGTGATTCTGTGGCCTGTATCTGCGTGTCTGTGTATTGCTGTGTCTCTGTGTGGATCTGTGTGTGTATGTGTATCTGCGTATCTCTGTGTCTGTGTGCATCGTGTGTCTATCTCTGTGTCTGTGTATCTGTGTGTGTCTGTGTGTACCTGTGTGTGTCTGTGTGTAATCTCGTGTGTGTGTCTGTGTGTGTATCTGCGTGTGTCTTTGTGTGTCATCTGTGATTCTGTGTCCTGTATCTGCGTGTCTGTGTATTGCTGTGTCTCTGTGTGTATCTGTGTCTGTGTACATCGTGTGTCTATCTCTGTGTCTGTGTGTGTATCTGTGTGTGTCTGTGTGTACCTGTGTGTGTCTGTGTATCTCGCGTGTGTGTCTGTGCTGCAGGAGGGGCTGTCGGCAGGTGTAACCGTGGCATCCTGGCTGGAGGGCTTCGCTGGGAGAGCTCGGAAGGGAACAGAATGTTCACTGCGCATTTTGTTCGTAGGGAAAGGCTGTCTGCGGTCCTGAGCCGCCTCCTCAGACGTGAAGCTGGAAACTGTCCCCGCGGAGAGACGGGGCGCGGCCTTAGACGGATCCGCTCTCCGCCCGCGCCCGAGACTCCGCCGCAGCCCGAGCCGCCGGGGGCTGGGGGCGGGGTGAGGAGGGGGCGCGCTGTGGGCGGGGCCGGTGGGGAGCTGTGTGGGCGGGGCCGGGTTGTAGGCGTGGCCGGGAGGGGCGTGGTGTGGGCGGGGCCCAGCCGGGGGCGTGCCTGGGTGGGGGACCCGCTGCTGCAGCGCGGAGCTTTCCCTGAGTTCTCACTTCGAAGGCTGTGCTCCGCTCACCATCCAGAGCGGAGATTCGGACCTTACACTAACTCCCGGAGAAAGACCAGCAAGTGCGCAGGTAAAGTGCACTTGCTCCGCGGTCGGGAGGAAGGAGGCGAGGAGCCAGCCTAGCCTGGGACCAGGCAGGGAGTTTACACAGCCCCGGCTGAGTCGCGGCTTAGGAAGCAAGGCAAGTTCCCCTAAAGGTCACTGTGCACAGACGGGCGCGATGGAGCAGACCTAGCGCGGCTGAGTCCGCCTGGGCCTGCAGCGGCAGCAGCTGCCCCCTGAGCCCCCCCACCCCACACAGCTCCCTGGCAGGCGACCCAGGAAAAAGTCGCCGCCTGGTGGGCCATGAGGTCATGGGTGGGGGGAGTTTGGAAGCGTTCAGACGGCAAATGTTCCACTTGAACTCCAGGGCAGCATCTGGCACAGAGGGGCCTCCTAGCCGTGAGCCGTGGTCAGGCGTTTCCTTAGAATGGAATGCACTGGAGTGAAAACACTAAATCCCTCAAAGCCGCTTCTCTTTACTGTGGTCACACACAGTGAAATCAGTGGGCATTAGTGCAGCTAGCTCTTTTCAAGGACACAATGTTAAGCACAGGCAGCCTGGTGTGTGGACGCTCTGGGTTTGCAGACCCAGGCAGGGGCCAAGGCTCAGGACAAGTGCCCGGTGCTCCCTTCCCACAGGGCGAATCAGAGCCTGGAGCCCGGTGGTGAAGCTCCCCAGGTGACTCTAACGTGCAGTGCATTTTGAGGAGCACTACTTAGACCAATGTGATAGTCTACAATGTGTAGATTTAGGGTGAGTGATTCTGCGGAAAAGAAACGCGAGGCTGTTAGCAGTTGTGGGCAGCTGCTGTCTACCTAAACCAGCTGCGGTTTGCTTGCTCGGTGACGTGAGCTTCGCGGGGCGGGCATGGTGTCTGCCATCCAGGACCCTGGGACGGGGCCTGCCAGGGCAAGGAGCTGGGCATTGAACGCATCTGGGGATAACTACCTCTCATGGAAGAACGAATGAGGATTGAACCTGAACACAGAGGTGAAAGAGCTGAGTAGACTGCAAAGAATTGCACAAAACCTACTTATTCTGCAAATTTAGTTTACAATACTTGAGTGCAGTTCACATCGGCGTAATGTGATTTAGGATCATAAGTCCCTAAAATTTCATTACACTGATGAAAAGCAAATGCCTATACTGTTCTTGTTTTATGAGAAGACCAGAACCTCCACCCCTGGGGCAGCTGAGATCTGAGGATATCAGGAATACCAGGAATGGGGAGGTCCTGGCTGTTGCTGGAGACCCAGCAGCATGACACCTGTGTCACCTGGGTCCCGTTTCTATGCTGGAGTGGCAGGCAGCAAGGAAATATTTTGAGTTTGATTGAGGCCATATGCATGTTGGAAAGGTTACTGTGGCTGAGTGGTTGGGAGCAGCTGGGGGGGTCAAGAAAGCCACTGCCAAGGCCTTCCCACTGAGTGTGGTTGCCAGGCTGGGGCAGGGAAGCACTGGTGAGTTGCAAGGGGGATTCCACTTTGGTGATGGGTGATG